ATCACCGAAGAATCCCGTTTAAGTATGGAAAAAAAACTTCTGCGAAAGCGCCTTGGTGGTTGAACACGTGTAAGACAAATACTCAACACAACTCGTCAATGTGTTGAGGGACTCTGGCTGTGCTGTGAGGAAGGGTCATTACCCGAAACGTCACCTATTATAGATGTGATCCTCTGTAGCACAGTGTTGTTGATGATGATGATGAGTGTGCTGAGCGCGCGGCACTCGGAACCTGTCGCCCCGAGTTCGATTCCCGCTCACGGGCAACACCAGTGACGGTTATCTGAACCGGTCGTGGGTCTCCCCTAGGTCGACTCAGCCGGACGTGATTCTGGCCACGCACCCCCTCGTGTGCCGTGCCTGCCTTTCATCGGTGCCATTTGCTAACAGCACTTGCCCCAACAGTCTGTTGAGGCTATACAGGGGATTCATGTCCGAGCGATACAGACGTTTTAGTGCTTCTGCCGACACCCTAAAAATACTCGGAGCAGAAAGTCACGGGAAGGGAGCTGACGACTCGGTCGAGGAATATCACGTGCGCTCTCTCTCGGAATTAAAAATATTCGAATATGTTTAATCCACCCCATAACTGAATCGGTGCGTAAATAATGATGACAATCGGTGACAATTACAGCACGTTGGGCGCTGCAGTGGCGAAAATTGTGTCTCCCTCGCCTTGTATGCAGGAGGGTCGTGGGATAGATCCCAACCCTAACGCTTATAAATTTGGAGTTTGTGTCTCTCTGATCATGGTCACAGTCCTCAGGTTTATACCTCCACATTTCGAATCAACATCACGCGTTTAGAGTATTTGGCTGCTCTATACATTGCCACACGATACGTCACTTCGTTGAGCTATCATTCGTGGCCAGGTTGCTTCTGAAACATGTCTATATAGCTCAGTGGGACTTACCTGGTAAAATAAATAAAAAATAGACTCCGAGGTTTAGCTTGCTTGTGCCACCGCTCGGCCGTTTGGCTCATTAACGTTGCCGTGATATTTATAAAATTGACACCAATGCTACCGTGTATTTTAGAAACATATACGAATCTGTGTTGTGGTGCAGTTATGAATATACATATACGGACAAACGGCCTACCATTGCACATGCACATTGCCAGCCTTTGCATCAATTCTCTGCAGTGCGGATCGTGGGAGTTATTTGACCATACTTCACCACAATGGTCCATGCGGTAGCGGGGCTAGGGAATGGGAGAGATCATAGATGTCTGAGCATAGAAGTACCGTATAGGACGATGGTATTTCCTGTGCTGTCCTATGGAACCCACAACGTTGACCCGCTGCCCATAACTGCTGTGAATAATACTTGATAATCTATGTTTTTTTTATTTTACCAAGTAAGGCCCACTGAGCTGCACACGTATAGGTCTTTTTCAGAAGCGACCGGGCCACAATTAATAGCTCAGCGAGGTGGCTTATCAAGGGGAAATGTATACCAACCAAATACTCTAAACACATGCTGATTCTAAATGTGGAGGTAATATCAGAGGACCCGGAGAAAAATCCACGCGCGACCACGGGTAAAGAGACATGCAAACTCCAAATACACAACAAGCGTCAGGGTCGAGATCTAACCCACGATCTCCTGTATACCAAGAGAGGGGGGTAACATCTCGCCACCACGGCGCCCCTTCCATGAGACGAAGAAAATATTCCAAGTGGGAATGGATGAAAACTATCAGTCGCTAACGGCTGCCGCTTGCAATCCACGTGTGTGTGTTTCAATGAACGTTACGTGCCAGGATTGGTCCACAATTATCTCAATATGTATGGTGATCGATGATGATCGTATGAAATGTGGTCAAAACAATTCAATTGGTAATTAATTTATCGCTAAATTAAATAGAGGACGTTACGTAAAACTGCCATCGGTGGTTACAAAAGGTTGTGCGCCGAGTATATTTAAGGTATGTTGAGAATAGGAAACATTTTACCGGCGGTTCTTAAATTGGGGGTGCGAGACATGGCCAGATTATTTTAGAAGGTAAATCATCGAAACACAAGTTAAGCACGGGCAATGCAAGTTCACCTTACTTTATTCATCAAACCCTCTGTATTTATTAACATTATACTATTTTTTTTACGATTGAGAACCAAATGGGGTGCAAGGCTGCAGTGAATGTTAAAAAGCACTGCATTATACAGGTTGCCTCAAAAACATTGTTAACACTTCTGAGAATTTGCAACAAATACCACGTGACATGTGCTGCTGCCTCCGGGCTCTGGAGCCCACCTGGAGAAGAATCCAGGCCACGTGTTGACAACGATGGCGAACAAGTTGGGATGCACTTTGACTTTTTGATGCTATTAACATACATTATCATATTCTTGGTTCTTACGTGACTTTACCGAAAGAACCAAGAATATGAATCCCTGCAGTCACGAAAGCTTTAAATGAATAAATAAACATTTTCATGTTGCAGTGTATTATTCGTTCTTTTTCCATTAAAAACGAAAGTGCCCTTTATTTTGAAGCTCCCTGTACATTGGACATTGGGATGGAGTGGGGGCGCAATGATTAGCGCCCTAAGCTATGAACCCCAGTTACCCGAGTTCGGTTTCACGGCCACATCAAACAACATCGGTGACGAGTGACATCTGAACCGGTGATGGTTGCTCTTCACAAATCCGCGCTGACCAGCGTGGTGAAGTATGGTCAAACATTGAGAATGGGCAGTAAATATTAATTATCTTAATTTTAATTCGGCATTGCATACCCACGCTGCGTATAATGCATTTGATGTGTGATTCTTACGTAGGGAATTGCTTAAAAACTCACACCGAGACTAAGTCTGTGTGACTTACACCTTATGAAAGCACTGCAGTTGCTCCCTATCCACCCTTTGTAATTGCCTTACAAACATATATGTAGAAATAATATTAAATAAATACTTAAAAAGTGCCATTTACAAAGAAAGATTTCTTCAGACTATTTTTCATCTTTACCCCCTCCCACCCACGACCCCCCATCCCCCCATCCCCCCTGGGTTGACTCGCGTTTTAATGGTGCGCTGTTAGTTTACAAAGCCAAAAAACGTGCTCATGTACATTTTTACGGAGATATAAAGACAGAATTGGATGTGGAAGGAGGGTAGAGGGTGGATGGGTGGGGGGGTGTGTTAGGAACGTAAGAAATCCGGGCATATCACAACATTAGCATTTTTCTTCACAACAACAACAACAATCTAATCTAACAACGTCGAAGGTTTCCAGCGACGAGACAAAACAACGCGTGGACTTCGCTTATTAAACGTGGCGCAGCAGTGTGGCCCTAATGAGCCACGTGACCCTAATGAGCCGCGTGACCCTAATGAGCCGCGTGACCCTAATGAGTCGCGTGACCCTAATGAGCCGCGTGACCCTAATGAGCCGCGTGGTCCTAATGAGCCACGTGACCCTAATGAGCCACGTGGCCCTAATGAGCCACGTGACCCTAAATGAACCACGTGAAGCGTTTCATGTCGCGCGCAATCAGCGCCGAACTTTTCCTTCGCACAGACGCGCGGGAGGACGAATGCCGTTCTTTAACAAACAAACAAACAAAAATATCCCATCCCTCGCTTCTGCCTTCGGCGCACGCTGGAGGGTGGGTGGGGGGTGCGGGCTGTGGGTGGGGGGGGGGCAGGTAGGGTGAGGGGGAGGGGGGATGGGGGGTACCCTCTTCACTGGAATCGAGTAAAGAAGGAATACCTCCACCGCACGCCAAGGTCTCCTTGTGACCGTCTCGAATCCCCATGCCTCTCGACCACTACGAAGCGCGCAAAAAGAAAAGTGCGTACGAAATAAATAAATGAATGCATTTGGAAGGCCGAATCGATAGCGCTACAGGATCTGAGTGGCTTAAGGGGTCTGAGGAGGGGTGAGGGGGCGAGCAGGGGGCGGCTGCTGCGGTACTGAGGGTCTCTTGTGAAGGCCTCCTTGGCTGAGTGGAGTGCAGCAGAAAGCAGCGCAGCTGCAACTTCTCGTAGAGGAGTGCGGGTGGAGGGGGTGGTGGTGGTGGGGCGGCAGAGTCTCCACGTGAAGGAGAAGAGAGAAAGAACCCCCCCCCCTCCCCCCCCCCCACACACACACACAACAACAGAGAGAGAGAGAAACGCGAAATTTGCCAACTCGTAAAAAAATATAATGAAGTCATTCCTCGGCCGCGTTGGTAAAGTCGGGCGCGCTCACCGCTCGCCTTCCATCCACCACCTCGTATCGCTCCCGAATAAGCTCTTTAACGCATCGTGAAGAGATAAGGTTAAACAAATATTTTCGCCACGAGCGAGCGCCCTGAACGAATTTCATCGCTCACACACAAAGAGAGAGAGAGAGAAGGGGGCGAGAGAAGGAGAGAGTAAGGAAGAGAGAGAGAGAGATGAGATCATTTCCAGCGATTTCGCTCGGCTCACGGCACGCACGAGGTGCAAGTGGGGGGCCCTTTCACCACCGACAAGGGATCATTCCGCGTGGCTGTTTACAACTCGAAAGGGATGAATCAAAACGCTTCTCGCGTCGCAATAAGCCTCGCACCAGCTGCCAACCGTCATAGCCAACCACGAAGATTCCCCCAGCCCCCCCCCCAAAAAAAAACTACGACGTTTCGATCGCAACACCCGACCCCCCCCCCACCCCCCCCCCCCCCACGTTTTGCCCCTCAACAGAACTTCGAAGCGAGTGCTGTTCGCGAGTAGCACCTAATGAAGGCTGGCACGGCGCACAGAGCGCATGTGTGGCCAAGACCACGCCCGGCCGCCTTTGTCTTCCCAGTGCTCATGTTAAACACACCGCAGCGGGTACACGTGTTAAGGACGAGTCAACCTGAGGCAGTGTCCCAGTTTCCTGTTCAAGATATTTCATCGTTGGCGTTGGCCGTGAGCGCGAATCGAACTCGGGTGGTCGGGGTTGGGTGGGGTGGGTGGGTTGGGGACGTAGCGCAGCCGTATAGCCACTACGCTACCGGTGCCCACACGCGCGCGCACAGTCAACGCGTACTCACGGGTTCCCTTTCGCGCTGCACGCGAGCGCGGCGCGCCCGACAGATGACGACGACGGCGATGATGATGATGATGGCGATGATGAACTCGTCTCAGATGGTCCCATCGCTCGCAACAACAACAATTAAAAAAAAACAAGCGGGCAAGAAGGACGGGGCCCTTCCATTTCACTTTCACCCCTGGGTCTTCTCACCTCTACCCACAAGCCCCATCGACTGTACCCGTGCGACATCACGACTACTGCTGCTACTGCTACAACCACCGCCGCGGCCACACCGTGTGTGCCTGCGTGTTCCCCCGTTGTTATGTAGCCATGCGGTCCACGGGAGCGAGCTGCCGTGCCAAGCCGAGCCCGGTTTATGTCGCCTCGGTGTGTGGGGGGGGGGGGGGTCCCGTGGCTGTCATTAAATATCTCGCCCTCGAGCTCTCAACACGGTGGCTCAAGTCGGCAGCACTGCAAGAGGAGAGCACTTTTACTTGGGATATGTTTTATACAGGAGGGTTGAGATAGCTCTTTGGCCGTAATAAGCACTCTTTGAGGCTCCCTCACTGGCCCTCACCCTGCCTCAGGCACCCGACATGACAAATACTGCAAGTGGTCTTGTTTCATTTCAAGTAAGCAACATCGCTGTGCGTGCGTGCGCGCGCGTGTGTCTGTGTGGTAGTTATTCACCCTTCTCGTCCCCTCCATACAGACGCGCATTGTCGTAGTGGCCGCTGCTGCTGCTGCTAAATAACTCTTCACGACACTTGCAGCATCTGCAACGTAGGGTTTACAATGCGTAATTGGTATCGCTTTGAATATATCTTTACCAGATAAAGGCCCACCGAGGTTTTATTATCTTCTCAGAGGTGGCGATGGCCACACGTGATGATAGCTCAATATCGAAGTGGCCGATATAATCATCATCACGTGGGAATTTGTAGTAGCAACCAAATCATCTAAACGCGTGTTGTTTATAAATGTTGAGCGGGGGAGGAGAGAGGGGGGTAAAACCGGACGAACCCGGAAAAAAATCCACGCGATCACCACGGAGAGAGAGAGAGAACAACACGCGGCTTTCAAATATACAACAACAACAAGCACCGTCAGGATCCGGGATCAAATCTCGCCACCGCGATATATACCTTTTGGTGAATTTTGTTGCAGGTACATGTATATACATTTTTAAACCGAAGCGTCCTATATTTATTTTCAATCGTTTGGGAATAACGAGCGGAATTTATATAGGTGCGGTGTGATATGTGTCTAACGTGTGTGTTGTGTGAGCTATTGAGCTATAGTACTTCTTTTTTTCTATTATAATAATATAATTCCAAACATTGTATTATTATTATTATTTCACGAGGATTGATTCGAAATATCTTTGTTGGGGTCGGATCACTGCGTAAGTAGAAATGTTGTGTCGTACACCCTTCCGCCACCTGACACGAACGAAATGAATAGATGCGTCACCTGAACGAAAGCGGGCACTGTGCTGACTGCATCAGCAGCTCCTGGTGGTGTCGGAGATCCATCCTCATCATCAAGCAACCTGACTCTGCGAACGCTGGTCGCTACAAACCAACATTGCCAGGCAGTTGCTGGCAACTGCCAAGCTGTTCGATGTTGACGAGTTCCGTTCAAAGCACCGGTGGTCGTGCTGCTGCTGCTGCTGCTGCTTTAGCGGAAATAAATTTGTCCTCGTTTGTGCATCACGTGGCAACGCTGTTAATTGGCCGTGTCGGGTGGCGGATGGTGTGCGACACAACACTTCACTCTCGCGGCGATCTGAGCCTAATATTAGTGGTGAAGCAGAATACAAGTCGTGAAAGCCTGCGCCGTGTTACATTTTAATAATTATTGTTTATTTGTTGAGGATCCGGTGCTATAGACTGGCTTGAAGAAGGGATTATCTGCGTAAGGCACTACCGCTAGAGTACAATTTAAGCCGATTACGAATATTAATAATAATCCTAATTTATTGCTTACATATATATCTAGAATCCCATGAAAAAAGCATATTTTTGCAGTTCACTAAATTGTACCGGCGTTATTAAAAAATATTTCCGGAACAACATTCTACACTATTCCTGCTCAAATTAAGAAGTGCTTAGAATACATAGATAAACAAAACAACGCATCGTGACAATTATGATGATAATTATGATGACAAAAAGGATGATGATTATGACGTTTCGGTACTATGATGGTGATTATTGATGGTGGTGATGACAGTGATGATGATGACATTGGTGATGGTGATTATGACGATAATGGCGATGTTTTATGATGCTGACAGTGATGATGATGATTATGGCGTTTCGGTACTATGATGGTGAAGATTGATGGTGGTGATGACAGTGATGACGATGATAACATTGGTGATGATGGTGATTCTGACGATGATGGCGATGATTTATGATGATGATGACAGTGATGATGATAACGATGATGATTCTCCTCGGCGGCTTGAACACGGTGGCAAACGTCAAAACAAGACGGCAGATTACCTTCTTTCACTTTCACCTGCGATAATTGCTGCCTTTTTTAACCCTTCAAAAACAAAATATCAGGATCAGACACCGGGGGGGGGGGGGGGCGGGGGGGTTGTGCAGAAGCGTTCTTGTGCGACATATTGCATGAAAGTCACCGCACAACGGAACTCATCGATTTGCAAATGATTCCCTTTAGCTCGACGCACGTTCCGGGAAATCTCCGCGAGTGGCTTTTTTGTTGTTGTCGATAACCACACTGCAGTGACCGCCACCACCGCCACCACCGCCGCCACCACCACCACCGTCATGCAGCGTTTCCGCTTATCGTGTCCCGGCACGCGCCACACGGCGCATTCTCACCAGCGAGGTTTTTGCACCTTCAAATAACAGGAGCTGGCAATGAATGTCTGCCCGCTCTTCAGCAGCAACGCGCAAAAAAAAGACAAAGATCCCCCGTATAGCCTTAACAGACTGTAGGGGCAAGTGCTGTTAGCGAGCACCTATGAAGGGGGTGGGTGGCCAACACCACGCCCTGCCGCCTTTGAGTCGACCTCGGGAAGGCCCCAGGACCGCTTCAAATAATCGAACCCGGGTCGCAATGGTTCGTAGCGCAGCACGCTAACCGCTACGCTACACAACAAAACCTAGTGGCGATGTTCACTAGGTATTCATTAGAGGCTGGGTCGACCTAGCGGAGGCCCAGGGCCGGTTCAGAAAATTGTCGCTGGTGTTGGCCGTGAGCGGGAATCGAACTCGGATCTCTGGGTTCGCGACGCAGCGCGCTCACCGCTGCGCCACCACTCCCCACGCACACAAGCGCAGCGCGCAATACGCGATCATAATCTAAGCATCGCCGCGTGAGCATGTGCGGATTTTTTTTTTTGGGGGGGAGGGGGGGGTTATGAGAGAGTGTGTGGGTGGGTAGATTTCGGTGTTCAATACACGCGTGTCAATTACACGCGTGTACGTCGCGATAACGCCAACACTCCTGTACACGCGTGTAATTGACACGCGTGTACAGGAGAGCTGGCGTTATCGCGACGTCGGACACACGATAACGCGCGCAGAAGCAAAAAAAAACCGCCAGTGGGAACAGGCAAAAAAAGTCGACGATTCGAAATTCACATTTGGGAAATTCACAAATGGCGGTCTGATATCGCAGCATCGTGAGAGATGGTTGACGGCTTGTGGGATGCATTCATCCAGCAGTGGATCGATAATGGTCCAGGATGATTATGACGATGCTGCAAATGGTGAGCACCAAAATGATTATTCTGAGTCCCTCGCGATGTTTGTACAATAATCGCAGCCGGTAAGTGGTCGGATTGTGTTTTTAATATTTCACCACCACCCCCACCAACCACCATGTCACTTTGAAAAGTGACACCGAAAGCTGAAAGCTTGCCTGCCGTGTGTTAAGCCGAGAGCGAGCGAGTGAGCGGGCGGGCGAGCGGGCAGTGTGTTGCGTGTGTTTAAAGCCGTGTGTTTAGGTCGACTCGGCCTCAAATGAGTACCTCGTGTGGTGTAACAAAAAAAACATCGACACTAGGAAGACAAAAGCGGCCCGGCGTGGTGTTGGCCACCCACCCCGTCGTGTGCCGTTCCGGCCTTAATAGGTGCTCTCTAACAGCACTTGGCCCAACGGTCTGTTAAAGGCGATACGAGAGATCTTTGTCTTTGTGGTGAAAGCCAGCGAGAGCCATCCAAACAAAGCTCTCGGGTCAGTGTCGCTGGAGAGGCGAATGTATGACGACCTTTGGAATATTGACAAAGGCAGGTTAAATATTTTGCCAAACGTTCGTCTATTTCTGGCCTGTTTTGTGAACTCGCATTTCATAGTTTGGCTAAACAGCGATGATGGAGCATGAGAATGGTTTTAATGTTTTTTTTTATCAGGAGACGAATGATCTGTGTTTAATAAAATACACCAAGTTGGCTCGGTCTGTGTGATATCTCTGATGGCTCGAGTCCAGTACATTGATCCTTGGCCTCGTGCGTTCTAGTGCGTTCGCGAGTAAGCGACTTTAGCGATTCAAGTAATCCCACACCGTTTCGTTTCCGTCCGATAGCCAGTGGTTAACTCGCACCCTGCCCTGAACCCCGGCCACCCGAGTTGGATTCCCGGCCACGGATAACATTGGTGCCGAGCGCTGTGCCTAAACCGATCTTGGACTCCCCCTGCTTTGACCGGCGTGGTGAAGTATGGTCAAACAAACAATCCCTACGATTGGCATGCCGTGGGGTGGCCTTCATTTAGCAGTGGATTGACAACGGGCTGTAAACATGGATCATATTAAAGGTGCGCATTGAACTTTGTAACGTCACAATGCATACCCAGATATGTGAAATGTGGGTGACGTACGGTTATTACATTATGATCGGCTTACAAACTCACACTCATGCTATACCTATGTATAAACGCTATATCGTTAACTCCAGCGGCGAGTGATATCTGAAACAGTCCTGGGCTCTCGCTTTTTAACCCATCCGTACTCGACTAGATGTGGTGCAGTATTGTCAATCAACGTCCCTTGACTGACACAACAGACTGTAGGACCAAGTGCTGTTAGCGAGCACCTATAAAGGTGCTGTCGGCCCACGATGGGGTGGGTGGCCAGCACCGCGCCCGACCGCCTTTGTCTCCCTAGTGGCGATGTTTACTACACACCGCACCAGGTACTTATTCGAAGCTGAGTCGACATAGCGAAGGCACAGGACCGGTTCAGATAATCATCACTGGGTGTTGGTGGTCGTTTACGGGAATCGAATTCGGTGAGCGGGGTTCATAGCATAGGACGCTAACCGCTACGCTACCACATCAATGCACATTGCAAATAATAATACTTTGAATGTATATTACATTTAAATATATGGGCATCGCAAGATCCCGTACAACGCAGCCATATATATAAACATACTGCACTTAAATATAATGTACATTCGTTGTAAGCATGTGTTTGAAGGCGGTCACCTGG